AAGCACCAAACCTCATGGGAAATACTTCCAGTAAATTTTAATAAAAATTAATGAAATATATAGATGAAAATTGATAAAAGTTTTGGGTCCCATAAATTTTGTGGTTGAAAATGAGATGAATTTTAGAAAATCGGGATCAACCTTGACAAACATGTAGTTATTATATAGTCTTATTCAGTACTATCTACCAAATATGTAAGCAAGAACTCCTTTTCCAACAACACTTGGTTGGCAAAATTCTAATGATACTGTTTATACATACAGATAAATATTTATATATATATCTCCTTCACACTCTATATACATCGATTCAAAATCAATTTCACTGAAAAAAAAATTAACATATGTAATTTTAATCCTCAACCTCTAGTACGAATGATGGTGATTGTACCCCTCCCTTGAGTGTGAATTCTGGTGAGTGCCACCACAGCCTTACCAGACAAACCCGGGCCATCGGCAGATGACACTAATGGCCTGCAGGCAAAATCCCCCACCGGATGTCGTACCGGCCTACTCGGAGGCATTAGAATCCTCTCGTTTATGTCATCTAACGTCACGTCGCCTTCAAATCCTCCCGGTTTAACTAAATCGAATGGATACACAACCTTGTCTTCTATCACTCTCTTCTTCGGCCTCTTTTCGCCGCTCGCACCTGAAAAAAATGTGTTAAGGTGAGATCCCGCATTGAATAAAGATGAAAATAACGATGAGGCGAACAAACTTACCGGGGGAAAATAGGGTTTGTTTATCAGATGTCGGTTGAGTGTTGAGTGATGAGATTGATGATGTTGAGTCATATGTTTGAAAGGTTGAGATTGCCTCTTGTGACGTTTTCGTGTCAGCAAAAAGTGATGCATCTTCGCTCATAATGCTCAGTGATCTGCTCATACCTGGAAATAGATACACATAATAAATCCATGCATAAATATTAATATAATCAGGCAAGAATGGGAATTTATTTATTCATAATTCAAGAACTTGATTGATGTTATCACACTTACTTATTTGGCTCATTGCATCATAACTTTGATAAGAATTCTGAATAAAATCTGAGTTCCTGCAGTTCTGTATACAATAATTTTCAGAATCTACACCACTTTACTGCATCATAATCAAAATTTAATAAACTTATTATTACCTCAATTAGATTATTGAACTCTTTGGTTTGATCTTCATCAAACAACAGCAATCTTCTTCGCTTAGAGCTGAATTCAAACAAAGCATCTTGCAGGTATCCCGTTGAATAATCAGCTTCAAGAGGTGGAAAAAATGGTGGGGTGTTCTCCATCATCACTAACAAAAATCAAATAAAAATTCATATACAGATATATATAGTAAAAAAAAATAAAAAATAAAAAACTGTACAGAAAACGAGAGGTGGAGAAGAAAAGGGGAAAGTAGTGTAGTTACGTTGAGATGTGTCTGCGTTGAAAACTCCAAGATTTTGTAATTCCCAAGCTAGGGAAGAGCTATGGCTGCTATAAGCTATGGAGTGAAGATCACTCATTTTCTTTTGATTTTGTGTATAGTAGAGAGAAATATGTGAATTTAAATAGGAAAGTGAAAAAGAATAAAGTGACAAAATCAGATTGTTTTAGAAGAAATCAGTCAGTCAGTCAACGGCCAGCGAGAGAGAAAATAAAAAGTTGATTTTTTTCTTGGGATTCAAAATAATCTACTTTTTTTTAAGAATTTTTTATGTGAAGTGGGTAATGTGGGGGACTAAATAATTGCACTAGTTACACAAGGCAGGCAATACATGAATGAAAGAGCAAGCAGGCAAGCAATATCAGCAACAGTACATAATTCAAATTAAGCTTTTCCTTTTTCATTGTTGTGATTTGACATGGTTACCAACTGTTACTCGTTTTGAAACTTTTTTTTCTCATTCTTGCTATCGTGGGGTCATATCAAATTCACAACAGCATTTACTTTTTTTTTTCCCCATAATTTTGGTCGACAAAAGTCTAAATCGTGTAAGAGAGTTTTCCATGAGTTGTTTGGTGGGACCAGAAAATGGCATGCTATGGGCCCACTGCAAGGGAAATATTGCTGGTGGATGTCGTTGAACAAGTTTCTTGTCGATTATTTGAATGTATGTCGAGTCAGCAAGAAAAATGAATGGAATGAGAGGCAGCAGTAAAAGTTAATATTTTGACTTTTATTATTTGTGTAATAAATCGTGAACTTTTGACTTTGGAAACGTTCTGGTTAAGGCTTGATCAGAGCAAGAACTCATAAATGGATATGAAACTTAGGATTTTGCCCATGATCTTATAATAAATCCATAAGTATCACTTAAGTGCTTTAATTAGATTATTGAACTCTTTGGTTTGATCTTCATCAAACAACAGCAATCTTCTTCGCTTAGAGCTGAATTCAAACAAAGCATCTTGCAGGTATCCCGTTGAATAATCAGCTTCAAGAGGTGGAAAAAATGGTGGGGTGTTCTCCATCATCACTAACAAAAATCAAATAAAAATTCATATACAGATATATATAGTAAAAAAAAATAAAAAATAAAAAACTGTACAGAAAACGAGAGGTGGAGAAGAAAAGGGGAAAGTAGTGTAGTTACGTTGAGATGTGTCTGCGTTGAAAACTCCAAGATTTTGTAATTCCCAAGCTAGGGAAGAGCTATGGCTGCTATAAGCTATGGAGTGAAGATCACTCATTTTCTTTTGATTTTGTGTATAGTAGAGAGAAATATGTGAATTTAAATAGGAAAGTGAAAAAGAATAAAGTGACAAAATCAGATTGTTTTAGAAGAAATCAGTCAGTCAGTCAACGGCCAGCAAGAGAGAAAATAAAAAGTTGATTTATTTCTTGGGATTCAAAATAATCTACTTTTTTTTAAGAATTTTTTATGTGAAGTGGGTAATGTGGGGGACTAAATAATTGCACT